ATTTATTTTCAATTAGAAAGAATTCACATCATACATTTCGTTATGTATAAAAGTCATATATGATTTGATTGATACTGTAATATAAAGTGAACCTTTAAATCTTCTTGAAATTTCATCGGAAACAAATGATACTTAAAATGATTTAAAATATTTGAATTTTTGAACCCTATTCAAAAAGAGGCCAACAGGCCAAAAATCTCGCCTGATTAAAAAAAAAATTTAGCATCTTTATCATTCTTATTTAAATGAAGATTTAAAGCTCCTTATGTGCTCTTAAATACTGAAACTGATGAACAATTCGGTTCATGTGAACCTGAAGCACATTTGCAGCTCTGTTCTGCAGCTTGTAAAATAATAAAGAGGGTGTGTGTGTGTGTGTGTGTGTGTGTGTGTAGAGCATTTATTACAAATGCCAATTGAGATTACAGATTTTACCATTTCAGAATGCAGCAGAAGGTGGGGCCTAAGATTTGTAAACCACAATTTGGAGCCCAAAGTTATTTTGATAAGGATATGGCTAATAGCCGTAACTAGAGAACGCTTAAATATAAAACCCAGAAAATCCCTTCGGGACCCATGAATTCACACAAAATGGTGATTTATAAAAATACGCAATTTAGTTCGCATTTAGATCACATAAATTCCTTTATATACATAAATACACATATATAATGTGAGCAAATCCAAGCCTCAGTGGGTCCCTTCTTCGGGTAAGAATTATGTGTAATATTCCGGAAATTTATATTGTTATCATACAGATTCAGTTATTAGGTTGCGGGTGTTAACATCCGCCTTAAAAAGTATATAAAAGCTGAATCGCTGTATCGAGCGTTCATTTTCCAGTGTAAGCTGTGGAGTGTACAAGACGTGTGTGAACAGACAGCGATATAAGTAAGTGAGACTATAACGTCAGCTTACAGAAGAAGTCGACCTTATAAAATAAAGGTCTAGTCTACAAGAATAGAAATAAATAAAGGCTGTTGTGTTTTTAACGGAGGTTAGCCACCACACTTGTAATTAATAAGGGCTGTCACTTGTACTGACTGTGTCCTGAATAAGGCTGTCCGAGGTTGGCCAGTGTTAGGGGCCTACCCACTGCCATTTTCTTAATCATCTGTAATTAATTGATTCACTATTAAATGTTAACGTGATTGTTAACCTAGATAAGGTTGGCCATTTATTTGTATATTGTAATCAATCATTTGTATCATTTATTAAGAAAAATTATATTATATTGGAAATCATCCCCCAAAACCTTGAATCGACAAGGTACGACCCCCGATTGCTGTTTTTATTCCGCTGGACACGTTACAAAATTTGGTGGCAGCATTGGGATTTGGTGTACTTGATTTTTCTTTATACTTTGTTAACCTTTTAGTAGTTAGCAATAATCATATTTGTTTATAATGGATAGTATGGATGACCTTACTAAAATCGAAAGAGAGCTAAGTAAGCTTCAGGCTAGCTTGATCAGGTTTACCTGAAAGCAGGTGGACAACCTTAGAAGATGATTATTATGAGACAATGGGTGCGAATCCTAAATTAGTTAGGACGACCACTCTACCTACTGATATATCAGAAAGAAGAGAGCCTGAGAGCCGCATTAGCATAGGTAGGTCAGATACACAGAAGATTTTCCTTAACAAACACCTTATGTTAACGATGACCCTCTGTTTACAAATATCACAACACGCAGGCCTGATGTAAGGACAAACATTTCAACAGAAGGGTAATCATGTTAAGTTTGATGGTACATTAGACTTTAATGTGCTGAATTGAAGAGAGATCAACTTCTTAATGCACACACAGAAGGAGAAAAATCTACAGGTTATTATTCATATTCCTTATATTACCAGAAAGGAGACATTTGAAACATTCAAGTTGAAATGCCTTTTTTGTGACGTTAGAGAAACCCTTGCAAAAGAGCAATTTATTTTTGTCCGCATCAAACAAGCCTGTTGACCTGAATAAACGCCATTGTCTGATGCATTTATTTGCTGAAAGACGTCCAAGAAGATAAAGGTTATTTGAGAGAGGCCAACCAGCCATTGAAATGGAAAATACGTATAAAAGAAATTCAAGAAGAAAATCAAAATTTTATACTGAAGACCCAGTCCTATAATTGATGAAGTTGGGTGTCAATGAACCTGCCCTAGGAGAGATCGCAAACTAGTTGGTTGCTGAGACAGATTTGTAGCCATTGTATACATTTCACAGTATAAGAAGTTGATTGAAAATAATACTTAACACAGATAGTGTTCATAAAAAAAATCAAAAGATAAATGACTAAAATACAAAAAAAAATCTATTGAGTTTGCATCGCATGATGCGTGGGTAGGTAATACGGAAATTTAAATTGTTATCATACAGATTCAGTTATTAGGTTGCGGGTGTTAACATCCGCCTTAAAAAGTATATAAAAATTTTCCAGTGTAAGCTGTGGAGAGTACCGTGTGTAACCAAAAAGTGGCAAGCCACTCAGAGGCTAACCAGCGACGGAGGTTAGCCACCACACTTGTAATTAAGCTTGTTGACCCGTCTAGCAACCAGGCTGTTGTGTACAGTGTGTCTGTCTGAATAAGGCTAGCAGTGTGCACAGCAGTTGAAGGGCTGTCACTTGTACTGACTGTGTCCTGAATAAGGCTGCAGTACAAGCGTCAGTCCGAGGTTGGCCAGTGTTAGGGATTGCCTACCCACTGCCATTTTCTTAATCATCTGTAATTAATTGATTCACTATTAAATGTTAACGTGATTGTTAACCTAGATAAGGTTGGCCATTTATTTGTATATTTTGCAGGCCTTTGTAATCAATCATTTGTCAATCATTCATTAAGAAAAATTATATTATATTGGAAATCATCCCCCAAAACCTTGAATCGACAAGGTACGACCCCCGATTGCTGTTTTTATTCCGCTGGACACGTTACAAATTATGAATTTTACAGTTAATTCTCATGTGACACCTAGAGTCTGGTATTGAATTTAACAAATAAATAGGCACAAAGGAAGATAATTTGATTAATTATTTCTAGTAAATCTTTACCTTCGTGTCAGGAATTGCGGTCCATACTTTCCCCGATATCACAACTTAAATAAAGAGCAATTGCTTAATTGATTTATTTGATATTCTGCTGTTTTTCTTCCCATTTGAGAATTGATCACTCATACACAAACGAAACCATTTACCGGTGAAGGGCTGCAAATTTAGATATAAATCGACACTCAGGGTCATTGATTAATGAGTGATTATTCTCGTGCTTAAGCCTGTCCTGATGCAGGACCTTTGGCTTGTCTCATCCGAAAAACTGGCACCTTTAACTAAAAGTGCAGAGAGCTTCTAATATTTTATCAAGTTTAACTGTGACCAAATGCAAACGGGACTTGAAACAACAACCCTCTAATCACGGGAAAAAAAGTGCCTTAAATTCCTTCTAAGCTAATTCGAAGAAAAAGTACAGCAACCCGAAAACGAGTTTTTATAACATTTTCATGATTTTATATTTTACAATTCATTTTGACAAATAAAAAGGAAACATGATAATGAGTAGATTGATAAAATAACCCTTTATGGATTACGTTTACCCGGTCTTTTGATAGAAACGAAATGATAATTATAAGGTACAAAAGGTTGGATAAAAATTGTTTAACGCAATGTTAAAATGCAAAAGATTGCGTTTAATCGTAATGTATATTGCATCTAGATGCAAAACATTTACATATATTGCGATTAAAGGCAAAGGATTGCGTTTAAACGCAAGAAAACATGATTTTTGTGTCTTCATGGGACAAAAAATGTGTCTTTTTCTGAACTGCCTTCAACGAACTTCCGTAACGTTCAAATACGAGAATAAAAGAATTTTTTTTATGTCAGTGAAAAGTTAGGTTGATATTGGGTCAATGGGAAAGAAAAAATAAAGTGATAATTAGGAATGCTGATTTTGATAATAAATGAACTAATATGAAGAATTCTCTCGATATAGCATGTAATTCTCACTCATAACAATGTATTCAATGTGTTTGTCGCTGTTTGTGAGAACGTGGTCTCAATAATTTTTGTTGAGTTCGTGATACATACAAAAGGGAAGAAGAATCCTTAACGGAATTAATATATATATATTTATTGTATTTCTCTGTTCCTGAATACGTCAAAGAATTCAATGAGATTTAATCACTACTTTTTTGCTAAAAAGAGAATGAAAAATAGAGAAAAAGAGTCAGAGTTTCATTTTCAATTGGTCTCGTTTAAGTAATAATTTTTGTAAAAAAAAAATGATTCGCAATTAGTAGAAAAATCTAATAAGGACATTAAAGAAATATATGGAGATATCGAACAGTACTCAAATCCACAATTCTATTTAAATAATACAATGAAGTAGAAGGGCAAAAACGGGCCTCTTAAACAGGGGTCGGATCAGATGCCATACAGTAATTATTAATCACTGCCTACTGGTTACACCCACAGTGTGCTACTTAATTGCAATGATCGGAAAATAAAGGATTTGTTGAAGATTTAAATAGTGAAGATAAGCTGAAACTGTTGTTAAAAAGACCCTTGACATTGCTTTAAGTTTCCACAATGATCTAAAATTTGATTTATCAAGTTTTATCCATGACAGTGTGTTTCATTCGTGAAACATCACCAAAAAATAGTTTTGAAAAGCTTCTAAATATCCTTCGTGTGCTGGAACAAACTCAACCACTAAATATGGTATAAGCAAGTGATCATTATTTAATAAACGAATGAATTTGATTTTAACAATAGTAGATAAAAACGAAAATCATTTTGCACATGCTACAACATTCTTAAATGAAATGGTAATTTTTATAAGAACAATACATTGCGATTTTTTGAGGTACAGTCCTATTCGTTTCCGGATAACAACACATCAGATTTTGTATAAAAGTCACTGGATGTTCTAGATATTCTCCTCAAGAAATGGTTTGATGTCGTCTTCATTTTTTTTACTTAATAGACATTGACGAGAAAATGGAAAATTCTTTTACAAAGCTGAGTTTATCTCTATGTGGTCTCCATTAACAATATTAATTTGAAAGGTCGCTGTTCTCTGTTTCCAGTCTTCACGTCTCTTTTCTAGGAAAGCGTTGTTCCAAAAACAAACCACTTTAGTGACGACATATTGGGCTTCTTTAAACCTCCAAACATATAGGATCGGATTAAGTATACTGTTACTGAACGCCAATACGCCCGTGTAGCCGATTAGTTTACGGTAATAGTCATCTTCAATTGGGAAAAAGGCGTGAAGAAATAAACCCGGGGTGTAGCAGACGAGAGCAGTTCCGGTGATTATCGCCATCTTGGCGAGAACCGTATTGGTGGCTTTCCTTGGTATCTTGTACAACAGGTATCCCAGAAGGAGGACATTAAAGAAGACGAATATGAGGCAGTTAATCTTTGCAAACTTTGTTGCAAAATTTGAAGGCGAGGAGTAGACTTTTAGACAGTATATTCCTGATGACAAGGAGAGGTCTAAATACATGAAGTAAGAGTTCAGGAATGCAAGGATCCAAAGCAGAGCACAGGAAATTTTCACTTTGACATCTGTTACTTTGACATAATATCTTATTCCGAAAAACAGAGCGAGGCATCTATCCAGGTTTAGAAGTGAAACGGTTAGAATCGATGCAAAGGTTATGGTAGCTCCCATATATTTCTTTATCCGACAATGGAAAGTCAGTTGGTATGCAAAGTCTGGAATGGCGAGTACTAAACCGGTCAAACAATCGGCTACGGACAAATTAAGCAACAGGGTTCGAATCTGAACTGTCATTGTTTTGCAGTTCAATAATACAAGAATGGCTAAAAGATTTTCAATAAACATTGGAACGCCCACTGCCATGGCCATTTTGTTTGTAAAATACACGGTTTTGATACTTTTAGTTTCATTTACCAAGCGCAAGATTTCGTTGAATGAAGTTTGGTTGTTTATAACCTTCATCTCTTACACGGTCTGCAGTCCGCAATAAGTTCTTCCAATATATATCTACGTGTAATATATGACATTGGTGAGTTTATTCCACAGCAGTAAAAATCAATATGCATAATACATGAGTATATTTCAACATCAGTATATTTTTAACATAATAAAATGAAATCATTTCACAAAGTATACTTACTTTTCAAGGTGTACATAGATATACATTTATGTAAGTAAATGTACATATAATATTATGATTTAGCCAATTGATCACTTTTTTTTCAATTACATGTGTTAGATATATTCGTATATTTTTTCTAAATGGAACAAAAAATTTTTTCCTCAAATGTTTCAACTCTTGCATTAAATTTGCCATTTCAAGGTAGCAATGGTGAACACAGGCACATACATATTTAGATTTTTTTGTTATTCAATATTTTTTTCATATGCTAGTACTTTCTGAAAGTCGAACGCCAATATTGAACCGTCATAATCATTTATTGTGTTTTCCTACCTTCTACATCAACAATGAATAGCATAAGCTTGGTGTGAATGGTTATGAAAAAGTTGTATTTTTCGCCATAGAATGAAAATTTAAAGGTTTAGTAAAGAATTTTAACACTTTCTTTCAATAACTTTTCTATTTTAAAAAATGAACTAGAGATAGGGATAATCTTGAAGTAAATGGCCAATGTTTTAATATAAGCAGTGATATGACCTCTTTTATTATCAGGGAAAAGTCGACAAAATTTTTCATACGAGCAATAATTGCTGTCCAATTTTTACATTAATTCATTACTATTATGTGACACAATTGTAATATATATGTATTTCATATGTTTCACCTTACTGTGTAAATTTAATGACATAAACCATTTTGGTAACTAATTAAAAGTGCTCGTAAAAAGCAATTCAAAGAATAGCAAACAATCGCTCACTGCTGTTTGTATTCAGTTGCAATTATTTATGAAATTCTTTGAGTGTTTTGTCTGTATATCCATCGTTCAAATAACACAAGTAAAACACAATGATCAATTAAAATCAATGGTCTATTCTTCTGGAACAAAACAAACTGGGAGCAAATCAAAGATGGACATCTAAACATATCGGAGAAAGAATCGTGGACAGTGAAGGAATAAGAAACAATCTGTCAACCGAACACACCCGCCGAGTACCCGTTTCCTGATCAGAAAACTGAAACAAACTCTTAGAGACTAGTAATTCAATATGAAAAATATGGCAAAGCAAGTATTTTAAGAAAAAAAATCAGCCAGAATTCGATTCATCCGATCAGTTGCATTTGCTTGAAAGATCACTGTAAATGTATCAACCATTGAATTCGCGAAATATTTATACTGGTGATACCATTGTATTAGTTGTGAGACATAAACTCCTTAACTAGATGGGGAAAAAACATATTTATGACAATAATATGTTTATGGATATTGATATGTTAATTGATTTGAATTTGGCGCCGATCTCTTAATACAGAACACTAGCTAGGTTGGTTGCGCATGCGCGAAGTAGTAGCGTCAGTCGCCGTTTTTTCATTGTAAACAGAAAAGAGGGTTGTTGGGAAAATTGATGGATCACGTCAATCATCGTTTTATACTATCCTCAAAAAATAATTAAAGACATTTTCTTATTTAAAAATATTTATTTTGTTGCATTTGGTGTGTATTTTTATTCCGTTCGATTTATTAGATGGAATGTATTTGATTTTAAAGTCAACAAATTTTGTAACCATGGAGCAAACTCAACAACATTATGAGGTAAAAAAAAACAGTGCGATGAGTTTCTCAAAAATACATGTACTCTCTCTTATATTTAGTAGCAAAGCCCAATGCAAATGCATTAATTAAAACGTGTCTCTATTTTTTTTAATGTATTTTTTTTAAACATTTATTCAATTAGCATAATTTTAGTTTGAATCTTATTATATTACCAAGATTACGTTCTTTCATAAAATCGGCAACTGTGAAGCGCCTTATCTCTAACCATGACATTAAAAACTTTATTTTTTTCCTAAGATATTTAAATCATTATATTTTCTACATTTTTATAAACGTCATTCAAATGTATTGGCTTGTTTTAACATATCATTCATATTTTGATATTTAAAATAACATGGCTTTAAGTTTAAAGTTAAAGACAGCAAACACAGACCTCCAAAACATCAGATATGGGATCAGGTGCTATGGAGGGGTGACCATCCGCTGCCCTGTGCTGCTATTCATAATGGAAAAATAACAGAAAAATCTGTCGACAATTCATTGTGTATATAATGGACTTATAGTATAGCAAGTATGAAAAAAGTCGGACAACATTTTTGAATTAATTTTTAAATTGTATTAGCTGACATGATCTTGTATCGACATGAGAATGCAATGATTTAAGTTTTTTTTAAGCTGCATCAAACGTCAAGATCAAAGCTTATTGAGGTGACGGTTATAAATAAAAATATCAAATTAAAAAAAAATGTGATAAGGATCAAGTTTTGTGAAGATTTACAACTACTCAGTTAAAGGAGGCTGGGGTGGTTTCAAAAAATAAATCACCAGATATACCTTAATTAAAGATTTGATATCCTTAGCTGTCAACAATCATTAGGCAAAGAAAAATTTTATCAAATGAAAAACTATTGTATATAAAAATCTGAAACCAATCCTCAATTAAAAGGAATAATCTATTGACAAGATGATTTTGCATATTTTTCATCGGGTGAAAAGATCGGGTAAATATATAAAGAAAGGAATTCTTTTTTAACTTCAGTTTCTCATCAGTTTTTCATTATTTCCCCTGAAATATATCCTGGCCGACTTTATTATCATTTTTATTATTCCTTCACGTTCTTTCATCCCTGTTTTTGTCACTATGAGAAGGTGTGAGATTCATCATTTAGAAATAAACGAGATTCTCAAATAACATATTTTACCAAGAATAAAATCGTTCTTTTCCTGAGTTTAAAATTAACACCTGATGAATGGTATTGCGAGCAGTACACTTGCATGACGTTTTGTCTGAGTCTGACAAAAAAAAATCTTTACATAGAAATCAATATGCATGGGTTCATAAAGTTCCATTTAACCCTAGAAAATAAAAAATATGATGTGATGCTTTTTAGTCCTTCCTTCTTAGTTGTTTGAAAGGGATTAAAAAAGCAACTCTGTACAATTTTTAAAAAAAACTAAAATTGTCAATATTAATGCATTTAATAGGTGAAATATGTGGAGATAACAAACAGTATTCAAGCTCAAAGTCCATTAAACAATACAAAATAGGAGCAGAGCAAACACGGATCTCTTTAGCATCAAAGGTGGGATCAGGTGCCATGGATATTGCGACTAGCCAATACAGCTCAACGCACTTTTTAAACTCACATGGTTTTTCGCACAAATTGAGGTCACATTTTTTTTGCAGTAAAACTTAAAATTAACGAGCTTCAATGCGAGACATAATCCTTCTATTATTAAATATTTCATGTTAAGGGTGCCTATTCTCTAAAATCATTAAGTTTTAAAAATCGATGTTTCTAAAGGGAATGTGTCTATAAATTGTATGATGTTACATGTGTATTATTCTACAATAGGTATTAATACATTTATTAATCGAGCTTTCTTTGATACTATGTAGTTGAAATGTTCAAATTGACTTCTTACAGATGAGTATTTTTCTAAGTACCTTGCACATTTTCCGTAATTGTCTTGGTTTTGTCGAAATGCAGCGCCGAAAAATGACAAAACTGCATAAAGAAATCATGTCAAAGGATAGGATAATAAAGTATTGATTTTCTTTCAACATGTTTAATTGTTACTTTTGAAAAGAAAATTCTTTTACATTTATGATCTGAAACTTTTTCGTTGGAAGGTATCTTTCATGATGCTAGATTTCAGAAAGTTAACCAGAAAAAATTCCATCTTTTTAACATGAAAAGCAGTCGAACAGACGAGAAATACTTCTGTCATCTTGCGCCTTAGTGTCATATTAATGTACAGAAATACAGAAGTTACATAAACTGCACTGTTTATGTATTTAGGCAAGGGAAAAGTTTACTTTAAAATGGGCGGATACAAAGACGGCTGCATTTGACGAGAAACCATGAAAAAACCATTTGTGAACTGTCATAATCTATCATCCAAGAGCATATAAAAATCCTACCAATTATTATGTGTGAATTGTATTTAAAGTAATGGAATATGATCAAAATTAAAATAAAAATCACTTTTGAAATGTTTTTGTTGTCACGTTACACAATTTTGCATTATAACAATGTGACCTTAATTTGTGCAAAAAACCATGTGAGTTTAAAAAATGCATTGAGCTGTACATTTATACATAGTTATACATGTATCTTTATTAATATTCAGATTATACTTGTAGGTATACTTTTAATCCTATTTTTCTACAAGTTCAATTTATCAATTTTTATAAATTTTTTTTATAGATATGAAGGGATAAAACGGCGAGCGTGCAAGAGTGACAGAAAAGAAGTTGAGACAATTCTTGAATACTGTCATTTTGAGAAGCTGTTTACAAATGGAATGCTAAGTAACAGGCTATTTATTGCTTGCTGGGCCAGGACCAGGAGGGAAAAGGGACATAATTATAATATTTTACAGTCTTATGAACAAGATGAGTTACCTGAGGGGACAAGAATCCAAAAAAGGATCTGGATATGGGATATCGTCTAACTTTAAAAATCCGTTTCAAATTAATTTGTTTGATTTTGTCTGAAAGCCCCAAAGGTTGTAATTAAGAGTATAGCTAAGCACTTAATTTAGAATGCAGATATATATATGTACACATACAAGCATACTGTACATTTGTACTGGTATCATAAAAGAACGCAAAACGTTTAACTTTTAATTTCATGTGTTGTGTGCTTGTGTTGAGTTTATAATCACTTGCTTTTCAGATTTAATTGTGTG